ACCAAGAAGGACAGGACCTTTGTTTGGGACGATGAAGTAGAGAAATCATTCAACCGGTTGAAGACAACAATGGTGACTGCTCCAGTGTTGCAGTTACCGGATTTCGAGCGGGAATTTGTGGTCACAATGGATGCATCAGAGGTATCCATGGGAGGAATTCTGCAACAGGACTTTGGCAACGGGCTGCAACCCGTTTGCTATGAAAGCAGGAAGCTCAACCCCGCTGAGACCCGGTACAGTGCATACGAACGGGAATTTCTGGGCATCACCTGGGCTGTTGGGAAATGGCGGCATTATTTGGCCAGCCGCCACTTCATCATCCAGACAGACCATGACTCTTTGAAAAACCTGCCCAACCAACCTGCTGTCAACAGGCGGTTTTGGAAATGGGTGCAGGTACTGCAGGGATACGATTGTGACATTATCCATATCCCAGGAAAGGACAACCCTGCAGATTTCCTCACGCGCAGGAGTATTCAGAAATTGCGCAGTATGGCGGATGTGCGTGCGGAAGAGGAGTCATTGGTCCAACGTCTTAAGTTGAATGAAGGTGACAAGGAGGAGAACGAAATACAAAAGAAACTCGATGAAATTTTTAAGAAGTTGAGAACTGGGGAAGCAATGGTGGCTGCTGGTGGGGGAGATCATCCACTTCATTCTTTACATTCTTTGTTGGTGACCAATGCCCGTGTCACACTGGAGGAGAGCTTGAGGGACTCCATTAAAAAGGGCTATTGAGAAGATAGCAGGTGGGCAGAAGTGATGGAACAATTGGAATCTGCCCAAGGACGTGTCACCAGGATCGGGAATCGTGATTACCGGCTGAGCCATGGATTACTGGAGATTAAAGTGAAAGACAACTCAGAGGACAGGCGACCTTGGAGATTGGCGGTGCCGGATGTGGAGGATGCCCGCAGAAGGATTATGGAGTAGATTCATGCAGTACCATACGCGGGTCAACTGGGCTACCACAAGACACTTAAGAAGTTACAGCAAAACTTCTACTGGCCAGACCACACGGTGGATGTGAGAGATTATGTGTTGGGATGTGAGGTCTGCCAGTCTGAGAAAAGTGTCCACAAGGTGCCGGCTGGACTACTGCAGCCTTTACAACTTCCAGAGGAGAAATGGAGCGACATCAGCTTGGACTTCATCATGGGTCTACCGGTCAGTGAGAGGAGCAACGACGGGATCCTGACAGTTGTAGACCGGGCAACGAAGATGGTACACCTGGTACCAATTTAGCAGACCATCACAGCTGCTGAAACTGCCCGTGTTTACTGGGACAACATAGGGAAGCTACATGGGATCCCAAGGTCAATTGTCAGTGACCGTAACCCAAGATTTGTGTCCAAGTTCTGGCAAGAATTCTGGAAGTTATTGGGGAGTAAGCTGCGGATGTCCAGTGCCCACCACCCTCAGACAGATGGTCAAACAGAGGCAGCAAATAGGGTGGTGGAGCAAGTCCTCCGATGCACAATCCATGCGAGTCAGGACATCACACACTGGGAGCGTTATCTGCCCATGGTGGAATTCGTGATGAACAGCAGCGCATCACCAGCTACGGGGCATACACCGTTCTACCTCAACTATGGATTTGAACCAGTGACCCCATTGGACTTGATACGAGATGTCGACCAGACAAACCTTGAAGGGGTTGACGTTTTCGTTAAACGTATGAAGAAGACGTTCAAGTTGGCGATGCAAATGGTTCAACAGGCGCAACAGAGACAGAAACGCCAGGCCGACCAACGGCGGCGTGATCAGCGGTTTCACAGTGGGGAATAGGTGTTGCTGAGCACTGAACATCTACAATTGAAGAATGCACCTGTTCGCAAACTCAAGAGGCGATTCGTGGGTCCCTTTGCTGTGGTCCGTCCGGTGGGACCAGTGGCCTACGAATTGGAGCTGCCTAAAGGGTGGAAGATTCATAATGTCTTCCATACGAGTTTGCTTCAACCATTCAGAACGTCCAGATGGTCGTCCCCACAGGAAGATGAAGATGCTGAGATTGAAGTTGAAGCTGATGTACCATATGATGTGGAGAAGCTGCTGCGTTGGAGATGGGCAGGCCCCAGTGGCAGGAGGCACAAGGAATTTTTGGTGTTATGGACTGGGTGGAGCTTGGACGATGCCTCCTGGATACCGGCAGGAAATTTCACTTATGCGAGAGAGCTGCAGAAGATGATCAAGAGGGACAAGCCCGAGGAAGTCACTGGTATGGGATAGTGACGCTTTCGAGGGCGAAAGCTACCCCAAGGGGAGAGTACTGTTGTGGAGCTACTTGGGGGCAGGCAGTTTATGGTGTTTTCTGCAGCTATATTATGTAATCTTGCTGAGTCATCCTTATCTGTGGTTTACTTATGATTTCCTGGTTCCAACGCTTTGTTCAGCACTCAATTCTGTGGAGTATGGAGGAAGATACGGCCTCGTGAAGATGTAGTACTGAGAGGCCGGGTGCTGGGTGGGAATGGTTGGAATTAGAGCTAGATTAGGTTGATTATAGGTGACCGGGGGCGCTGGGACACGGTCCGTACATTACACTGTGCTGTCATTGTCTGATGTGACGCGATGGACCCGCGACCGGGCATCGCGCAGGTACATTGGATGCGCGCCGCGTTGTGTCAGACTGTAATCGCAAATCCGGGCCCCTCTCTACCCCGCCGCGAGGCAGCGAACCGCCGTTCGCCGCCGCGACTCCACCGCCTGCGCACGGCAGGCTTCGGGGAAGGTCCCCGAGCGTCCCAAGGGCCCACCGCGCTACCGAAGAAACGAGCACCCCGTCAACGCCCGCCGCAATCCGGCGGAGAGGCGCGGCATCGAGGCCGCGCCATCGGGTGCGGCGACCGCCCCCTAACTCCGGAAACCAGCGGCCGCCCGCGGGCCGCAACACCAGGCATCAACCCAAAAGATTGGCTGGGCATATTCAGTAACACCAACCAGTTGTTGAAATTCTGGAAGGCTGCAGGTGGTCTGTTCCTGACGCTGCTCAGTATAAACCTATTCGCTTGCAGTCACATCCTCACCGCACGTCTTGTTAGATCACTTCTGAAGGTGTGCAATCAGTGTTGGTGTGATCTGCTGCCGTTTATGCGGGGTGAAGGGTTGCAGCTGGCTGGCATAGCCACGGAGATTGCCCGCATTAAGGGACAACTCAGTTTTCTGTGGAATTCTGAGCGCATACGGCGTAGCCAGGTCAAGCAGGAAAGGAACACCGTACCCGTCACGTCACAGCCTGTGACGGGTGTAATTGCTGGTCCAATTTCCAGCCCAATCCATTTTCAGCTGGCTTGTGCATTTGCAGCTGGAATTGTAACATGCTGTTGTGTGTCTTTAGGATCCCTTTGTTTGGGGATCTGGGTTGGACACATTCTCTAGAGTGTATACACGTGGCCGTGACTCATCAGCCTTAACAGGCAGTCACACGTAATGGCCATACAACAGATGTTCTAAAAGACTGAACAAGGATGCATTCACATTCATGCACACGTGTGGCCTATTGCCTGCCCACCCACTGCTGGGCGACATCAAAAAAATGTTGTTGTTTACCAGCACTGAATCAGCTCGCCAGGGTTCTTTCTGTTTGGCACTGGAAATGCTCCGCCTTTCGGTGGCCAGACCACCACATTGCGTTCATCGCCGTGAACTGTGCAGTGTTGCCATGCGGCGCGTTTGAAGGGGCCGAGATTGCGCAGTGTCAAACATGGTTACCATCCCCTGTTAACTTTGCCGAGGCATTTTCCGTTGTGACGCGGCTGGAGAATATAGCGCACACACGTCTCAGATTGAAGTGTTGTGTGGAACGGCGTGGGCATGTTGTACAGCGCAATTTGGGCATGAGCGCTCGTCGAATATTCGGATCGCGGCGTGTTTCATGGGCACTGACAATCCCTGCAAGCTCCTCGACGAATGGAAAGGTGTGAAGACCCTTCTCCGCGACCATCTTGCCTTTTCCTTCCAACCACCAGGCATAATGCGCAGCGCACAAGCTGCCATTTCACATTTGCGAGCCCGCCAAGCCAAAATCCATTACTTGACGCCTAGAAATGCGTCCCAAGCGCGTCAGTGTGTGATCAGAATTGTGCATCGTCCTTCAGTCAGGCGACCCGCAATATCCTTTCCAGTGCCAGCATGACTCCTTGTCACATTCCAACAGCGTGTGAGAAAAACGTGCGAGCAATGGGCCCTTTGGATACAATCTGTCAATCATGGTATCACAAAAATAGCAATCGAGGATACAAGGTTCTCCGAAAGATAAACTTTCAGATGACATCAAGAGATGAACTTAATTCCAAGAGGTCGAATCCACGAAGGAGAGAATGTGCACTTCAAGCATTCGATGCCAGGCCTGAGCAAAGGGCTGTATAAGGGAACCGCATGGACACAGATAGCCCTACATCGCATTACTCGTGGATGGGCCCAGACATTGCATTGCATTGGGGCACACGTTGTTGATGTACGGAATTCAAGAAAACATGGGGAAACATGGGGAAAGGTGGGGAAAATCTCCAGACACAACAAAACGCACTGAAGAATAATCTGCAGGGGGAGCAGCTTCCATCCAAAATGAAGTGAGAAGTGCAGAAAAGTACCACTCGCAACCTCGCCTCATGCGAATTAAGCGAGCCATCTCGAACGATCAAATTCAAGATGGGAATTCAAGAAAACCTCTTTGCCAAGAGAAACTTCGCAACAGGATTGCACGACTGCATTAAAGCACATTGGACATAGTCTGTGCCACATAAATACAGTTGCCTTCAGGTGAATGCGCTTGAGAGTTCACCCCGTGCTTTCAACATCACACACACTCTGCCAGTTCATTTCCCAGCACTGTATTCGGCAAATGATACGGCGCTTCAGCCAAAACAACAGGGAGGACCGCCTGGCACTGGGCGCAAAGACAGCAAGAAACAAGCAAAGCACCTAGCGCACACCCACTGCTTCAAAAGTTCCTAGAAGTGTTCAAAAAGGTTTCCAACAAAACGAACTCACAGATTGAATCAACCCACGGTCTGCCCCTCCGCCACCATCCTGAGGGTCGCATAGACCGCAGCCAACATCACGGCGAAGCCCCAAACGGCGACAATGGCTGCCTCCCGCACCGCCCTCGCCAACTGGCGCCTGTTCCAGCCAGCGCACCGCTCCAACAGGTACGCCGACCTTGCCCGGGCCTCAAGGAAATAGATGAGCGCGCAGGACAGCAGCATGCCTCCCCATGTCAGGGAGCACATGACCAGCCAGCAGCTGGAGGCCCAGTCCAGGGGGCCCGAAGGTGGGAAAGTGGCCGGGGACAGCGTCATCACGGTGTGCATGACCTTGTCGATGCGGGAGGCCAGGGCGAGCATGGTGGCCCTCTGGTAGTCCTGCTCGAACCACAGGTGGCAGTAGGACGGGGTGAAGAGGCTGACGGTGGCCGTGACGGTGAATGAGAGGCAGACGTGCGTGCGAAAGTCCACCTGGGGGCACGGGAAAACGAGTCTGCTCATTGGTTGATGGCTTGGTGAGCATGGGGGATGCACTCGACAGAGCGACGGCCATCGTGCCAAGTTAGGCAACGGTGGGAAATATGTGTTATGCATAATACATACATAATACGTATTGTGCATAAATAATATGTATTATACACAATTTAGATGATCTATACATAGTTTGATATAATCAATCAACATCACTTTACGTAATTTATACATAATATACATTATACATATTGTGCCCATCCAAGAAAGGGTGGGGTGGGGTGGGTTGCACAAGCAAAGCCCCAAAATATCCATTTCATGCAGGTTCTGTCTGTGTGTTGGGAGGTCTTGAGTTGGGCCAACTGACTCACAGCTATGAGGAGAATCAAATCTTCTAGCTGTTGATGCTATCATTGTTGCTATTTATCAAACTGTGGATCGTGAGGCCAATGGACAGCGCTGATGATTCAATTGCTGCACACAAACAGCCTGCCAAGCAACCTTATTCACAAGAAGGGCTAACCCGCCCCCCTCCCCTCGAGGGATCCCCCACAGCCGTACAGCAAACATTTACGAATATGTATTCACATATATTTATATATATTCATTCCACCAACTCAACCACAGCCTTCAAGTGAAAACTCTCATACACAAACAAATTATCAATGCCGCCCCATATCATTTACCATTGAATTCAACTTACTTCAATATTATACGATAATCGAATTCAATTCTTGCTAAATCTTGAATGAAATGAACTCAATTCCAAATAACCGTTGCACTGATGACTGAATGATGTCTGACATTTCAACCACATCCCTTTTGCTCCCATCAACAAAACACTTGCCACCCGTCACGCCCTCCGCACCTGGCAGCCGAGGTGCATCATGAGCAACGGCAGCGCCCCCCCGTGCACCAGCAGCCTCGCCAGCGCGCCCGTAGACGACGCATCCGACGGCATCATGCACCACTTGCACGCGCTGATCGCCGTCGCCACCCCCACCCTGAAGATCGAAACCGCGACCGTCCTCGTCCTCCCGTAATCCCGGCCGGTCGCCGCGATCCATGCCAGCAGGCCGATCGCGCACGCCGGCGGGATGGCGAACAGGGCTAGCACCAGGCCGGCGGGGAGATCGCAGTCGCTGCGGCGGGAGAAGATGACGAATGACACACCCAGGACGATGCACGCGGTGACCTGGTCGGAGGGGCGCAGCAGGGCGTCCAGGCGGCTGGCGTGGTATCCGGGCTCCAGGGAGGGGTCCCAGAAGGTAAGGGTGCCGGTCCAAGGGGGGGTGTCTCCCCGCGGGCTGGAGGGGGCTGCCTCCGCGGGCGCCGCGGAGGCGTCAGAGCTGAGGGCGTTGGGAAAAGGGAGTCCATCAATGCCTTCCCAGCAAGCAAGAATGAAAAACAATGGAATTCTTCAATACAATTTGCGGATGGATGTACGGATACGGGGTGGTCCAAGGTCCCACAGTCTTGCGGGCTGCAGGGGCGTCGACGGAGAATGCGGAAACGGTGGCGTCAGAGCTGCGCGTGGGAAGGGAAGGGGGTCATTGCCCCCCGCAAGCGAATGGAACAAAGCATTCTTCAACAAAAGTTCAACCAGAAAATGCGGATGTACGTGTGCGTCGGGCTGGTCCAGGGGGGGCCGTCCCCTCGCGGGTTGGAGAGTGCGGGTGCCACGGACGCCGTAGAGGCGTCAGAGCTGACAGCATTAGGAAAATGGAGTCCATCACTGCCTTCTCAGCAAGTGAAAATGGCAAACAACTGCATTCTTGAACAAAATTGGTTGATGGGCGTATGGATGCGGGGGCCTCCAGGGTGCCTGAAATTCGCATGTTGGAAGGGGTGATATCGGTGGACGCTGCGGAGGCGTCAGAGTTGCGTGTGGGAGGAAAAGGGAGTCAGTCAATGCTTTTTCAGCAAGTAAAATTGGGAAACAATGGCATTGTTCAATAAAAATTGTGGTTGGACGTGTGGATGCTAGCTGGTACAGGGGGCCCCTAATTTTGCGGGCTGGAGGGGGCGAGATTGGCGGAGGCCACAGGGGCAGAGGCGCATGTGTCGGAGCTGCATGAGGGAGGACTAGGGGATGAATGCCTGCAACAAGCAAAGGAACAGCTCCACAACAAACTGGGGATGCCTCTAGCAAGTAAAACGAAACAATGGCATTCTTCACCAAAATTTTGGCTGCCTCACGGCCCCAAGGTTGCGATGTTCGCGGCTGTCGAAGCTGGGCGGGAGGACAAGGGTGGACCGCAGTCGCTAGTGCCATCGCAATCGAACCCCATGCAGGCTATGAAGGGCACAGAAAGTGCCAATCAACATTCGCCACTCGCTCTGGCAGTTGCATGTCGTTGGAGCACTTTGTCGAAAAGAGAAAAAACCATGTCCTTGCACTGCAGGGTCGTTTGGGCCGCATTGCTGCAGGCTAGGAGGTCTGCAACGCGATCCCCACAACTCCAAAATCTGAATCAGTGCTTGAAAATTCCTGGAAGTCATCTCCAACCTCCCAAAATGCAGTAATTGTGACATTTTCGAAAGAACATTGCGGACGCAGCATTGTCTGCCACGACCTTATGTGCACATGGGCTGAGTGCGATGTCAAGTATTCGACCCAGAAGCATGGCCTCCGACAAGCAGAAGTGGAGGGGAGGAGCTCACTGTCCACCCTTCAACGACACCTCAGTAAAATTTTGTGCTTTCCATTATTCTCTTCTGTTCTTAGGAACATTGTGACCTTGGCCTACTGTAAAACAGGCTTGCAGATGAGCAAGGCCTGTCGTTAGGAGTGGGGTGCCCTGTAGTGATGTGGCAACTGCACCTGCTACAACCATTTACAAGGTTGCATATGGTTGTGGTAGGCCCAGTTGCGATGTCATTGCAGGCACCACGCTCTGGCTGCGTCCTTGCACGCAGCCAAAGACGTGCCAATTGCCATTGAATTCGCGCTCTAGTTCCTGTCCCCCCAAGTGGGCAACAGGCTGTGGAAGAGGGCCAGTGCCGCCGCCACTGGTGGTTCTCCTCCCCCCAGTTACCTGGCTTTAGCTATTTATGGCTTTCCTTCCACTCAGCTATTTTCCCCATCTCTGTGGTGGCTCTTGATTCAAAAACGGTTGGAGATAAGTGTTGTTGCGTGCTCCATCCACACGACACGGCCATTCTGACAAACAGTGTGAATGTTTCTACCCAATTTGGGAGGACCAACTGCGCAAACTGAATGCAATTCTGCTCAGTTCAGCCGGGCCCCCCAGTACTATCGGATTCCCGCGCTCTGACGCCATGGCGCACCGCTGCCCATACGTCATCCTCGGCCCGCGGCCCGGGCCGCTTCAAACCGTCCCTTAATTCATCCCCGAATTCAGAACTTAAAATGGACTTAAAAACCGCCCGGGGTCCGACTTGGGCCTCCGCCGGTCTGTCGAAGGCACGCCCCGGGGCGACCCATCTGCAGGCCGGGGAGGGTCGCCGACGCCCTTGCGGTCAACGGGGGGTCAACGGGTGTTTTTGCTTCCCGAGTTCGTATCGGGTCGATCGGCCCATTGGGCTCCAGCGCATGGGCGCCAAACGTCGCGGGATGCGGGTTATTTTGGGGTTTCTGGCAGTTTGAGGGGGGAGTGAGGTAGGGTTGTGTGTGCGTGTGTGGGTAAGATTTGTTTCAAAGAAGAAGAGGGTTGGGCCATGCAAAGGGCGCCACCTCCTGAGCAGGTGTTTGAAGAGAGCCTTTGCCACGCCACGAGAAGGTGACATGGGGTGCGCGATGCGAAATGACGAGCGCAAGGCACAAGCAAAGGGGAGGGGTTTGGGAAAGGGGGGGAGGGTGTCATGAAATTAGTCGCTCTGTCTGTTGCGTGAAGATCCCTTCTTGTCTCGGCACCCTAGACCCCAAAGCACTGGCCCATTGACCCGCGCTGGCCCTGTAAGCGGAAGACGAAGGGATCCCCACGGAAGAGACAGAGCGACCAATATTCTCTCGGGGACGGTCCCCAGAGTCCTGGGTCAGCTAGGCCATGGATTGGCCTCTGGCCTTTGGGTGCAGCCGTGTGGACAGTCAACGGTCCGGGATGCGGCGTTCCGCGGCGCCGGGCGGTGGCCCCACGTCGGTGACGGCTCCCAGAATGGGCGACGCTCGTGCGCACGCCCCAGGGGAGCGTAACCCTGCACGAAAGCCCCGCCATCGGCGTCTGCTATAAATAGGAAGAGCAACATCTGGAAAAGGAATCTCCGCTCTACCTTCTCTTCTTCGTGGCCAAGGGCACCGTCCGTGATTTGGACGGCGCGCGGCAGCGAAGGGCGGAGGCGCCGAGACGCCGCAAAGGGCGCAGGACCGGCCACCTCATCCGATCGCGGTGCTCCGGGCGGGGTACGACGGCCCTCGCATCCTGCCACCCGCACCCCTCGAGCCACAGCACCCAGCCGTAACAACC